TCGCCCATGCTTGTGAGGGGCTGCCTGCTGATCTCAGCTGTCTGAGAGGAGAAACTTCTCAGGTCCTTGTCTACTTGGAAGGAGTCCACCAAAGAGGTTCTTTGAGACTGCTCAAAAGGGCAGTTGGAAAGCAGTGTCAAGTTTCTATAGGGAGAATCCTCATTAGTTAGATACCTAGACAGCACACCTTCTAAATACCATTTTTTCCACCTTTTCCAGAGTCTTTCAGGTTCCTCTTTTCTCCTAAAACTGGGAGGGGAAATGACAACAAAAGGTCAGAAGAAATGAGCTAAAAAATACACAAGCCAGTGAAAGATCCTAAAATATTAAACATCTTTCATGAGAATGCAGCTTGCAAAAAAATCAAACCACAAAGAAATGGCTATTACTTTTCTTATTTTGAAGCTGCTTCTCTGGAGACACTGGGCACACAAAATTCTGCCAGTAGCAATAAACACAGAAGTTTCATGCACAAATCCAATTAATTCCATCCAAACGATAATATGAGTGAGGAGAAAAAAAGCCAGCAAACAGGTACTAGATACTATAAATTCCAGTTAAACATAACAAATGCTATATTAATCATTAAGAAACCTGTGATAAACAGATTATTGTTGTTGTTTGGGTTTGGTTTTTTTTTTCCTGAAGGGTTCTCTATATCGTATATAAGCCTCTAGTTCCCCACAATCAAAAAGGGGTGCAACAAAAGTATAGGAGCCACAAACCAAAATATTTCATAGGGTCATCGTGTAGGTACCATCTTACCACATTTCTTCCCCAAGTACCTTCTAGTTCAGTTAATATTGTGAATGTTCTCTGTGGAAAAAAATAGCCTAAATAGGTCTGGAAGGAAATACTACTTGCCTCTTTCATCACTGGAGATGCCTCATGATTACAACAGAGACCTTCTGACTCACCTTCTCAAAGACGAGATAGTTAACAACATGAAAAGCAAGTACAGAATTACCTCAGTCTCTAAATTGCTGAGTATGAAGGAGAGGAAGGATAAATTACTAGAGTAATATCCAGAAAAAACGCATGTGATTTTCTACCTTCCTTTTTTCTGCCACAGAAACTTACCAGATTTGTTCTTCCATGGACTTAACAGACCAACACATAAGAAATCAGTCCCAGGCTTTCTCTTTTACTATCTAGAGATAACGTGCTCAAAAAAAACCCAAAAAACCAAACCAACAAATCAAATAATCAAACCCCCAAAAAACCCACAAGATCAAAAAAACCCAAACAACCCCCCCAGACCTCAAAACCAAACAGCACCACCATACAAACACACAGTGGTAGTTACATTTTTAATCCTTTTATTTTTCTGGCCCCAAAGACCCACCAAATTTGATTAGCTGGCAGTCACTCTTATGAAAGAGAAATGAGTTTGCGGGTGTAAATCACTAAGAATACCTCCTCTCAGCAGCAATGCCATCCCAGGTGAGGATGCTGTATTTCCATTAGTGGAGAAAGTGAAGCTACTGAAGGTTTGCAGGTGTGCCTGTGTTTGGCTTTTTTAAAAATGCTCTTAAATGTTCCAGCTAACATTGTGTCGTGGTCTGCGCAATATGCCGTTAGTTTCAGTAGTCAGAAGAGGCCCAGCTAAGAAGCAAAATTACTGAACAAAACCAGTCCTGTTTTACCTCAAACCAGGACACATTGCCAGTACACACTCATTTGATGAAGTGGTCATAGACCTTGAGAGTGAGGAGTTACATCACTTCATTAATTTCCACTTGTCTTCTGGGAGCGTGCATGTAGAATCATAGAATTGTCTAGGTTGGAAGGGACCTTTAAGATCATCAAGTCCAACCATCAACTAACACTGCCAAAACCACCACTAAACCACATCCCTCAGCACCACATCTACCCATCTTTTAAATACCTCCAGGGATGGTGATTCCACCACTTCCCTGCGGAGCCTGTTCCAATGCTTGACAACCCTTTTGGTGAAGAAGTTTTTCTAATATCCAATCTAAACCTCCCCTGGTGCAACTTGAGGCTGTTTCCTCTTGTCCTATTACTTGTCACTTGGGAGAAGAGACCAACCCCCACCTCGCTACAACCTCCTTTCAGGTAGTTGTAGGGAGCGATAAGGTCTCCCCTCAGCCTCCTTTCCTCCAGGCTGAACAACCCAAGTGCATCTAATAGGAAAAAATATGTTTGTAGCATAACACACTTCTGATATTCTCAGTTATGGCAGGTTGCTAAGACTTTTTAGCAGAAATGTAAATCAGGGTGGCATGAAGACAATTAGCTTTATTAGGCAGTGAGTTTCAGGAAAGAAGCCAGCCATCTTCTGAGAAGAGCACTTCTAACTAAGAACCCATCCTAATTCAGAAAACATGGGAAATTCTGAGAGAGGTAGCAAACGTAGAAAAAGTTTTGTTTGAAACACATTTAAAGGCAGTAAACCCCAGCAGACACCTCCAGAGAGTTTTAAAGCTACAAAGCATTGATCCAAGAAAAGGATTCATGTTCACCAAATGTTTACAAGTAAATAGGAGCAAATCAGAAGGCAATTAATCAGGGCATTGAGACCACTGTTAATGAAAAGAAGTCAGACACGCAGACCCTGGTTTGAATAGAGTTTCTGTGTTTTTCTACTAACGGTAAGCACGGTGGGCCAGCATGGGGTAGAAGTTGCTTTGAATTCTTTCTTACCATCTTAAGTTTAGACAATGAAAAACAGAGGGCAGATGGGAAACTACTTTTGTGAGCTCCATTAAAAATTCACCATAGACACCATACCTGATGTTTTGAGGCAGCCACTGATGCATAACTGACCTCGTAGTTAAGAGAAATTGTACACCTGGCAGGTTTTATGTAATTACCAGAGTACCTACTTGTATTTTCAGGAAATTTCTGACCTTTAGACTTTATTGTATATTACCCTGCTAAGGATCTGTCTTCAATGCATGACTACCAAAGCTATGGAAATAATGTTCTTATAACAGCACCTCATTTTAGTGATAAGACCAAAATAAAGAACACTTAATTTGATGTAGATGTGACCTAAGAGTCTTTGCTGATAAGCAGACCCACTACGGATACATCCACTCATCATCAATTTTTCCATTTCATAGGATAATATGGAATAATTTTCCTAAAAGCATCGGAAAAAAAAAATTAAGCATGGCAAAAAGAAATATGTCAATACCTCATTTCACAATCACTTTCACATTTACTAAACTGAGCTACAATTTTATACATTGGTACAACTCTCCTAAGTGAACAAGTCTAAAGAGAGTAGGTGTTTTTTTTAAAAACTAATAAAAGTGCCATGTGATATTATTCAGTTATTCGAAGAGACAGGCTAACAAGCAGATCCCTGTAAAACCAACTGAAGTTACCCTCCTCAGAATCACCAATTCCAAGAACACTAATTAACAAAATCGTTCCAGCAGGAGAAATTCCAGGAGGAGCGGGGAATAAAAAAATCATAATAAGCTACATCAGGGTTCTTGCTTAGAATAAGCATTGACAGAATTTGCCTTTCTCTGTAAGCAAATACATACAGACTTTTGCAGCCCAAAAAGAACCCCCCAAAATCCCTCATTTGAGGATTTAGAGCATAAACTGCCATTCTAGCTACAAGTGAGGACAGGGCACAATCAAAAGATAACAATGCACAAGCTATTAGAACACAAAGTGCTATATGGAGAATAAACCAGTCAGCCACAGAGGGACCAAAGTCCCTCATTTCAGCATTAGTTTCAGCACCGCCCTTAAATTCCTATGAAACACAAATTCTGTGTCAGAGGAAGGTTCTGTTAACCACAGACTTTAAATTCAAAACAGCCAGAGAAGCACAAAGAAAACTAATATATATTTAATTGCATAGACTTAAGAAATGCAGTTCAACATATAGTTAGTTTTGCTGACACATGTATTGAATCCAGAAGTTCTCTCTCTCTGTATATATATAATTAATAGTACATTTTTTATTCCTTAACACAAAGAATTTTACAGAATTAACAAGCTGTATTACATTGAAAAGCATACCTGGCTGAATATTTGACGTAGCAAGGAATATTTTAATTCATAATTTAATTTTGGTTATGACACAGGTGGGTTTTTGTTGGGTTTTTTTTTCAATTTTCTGTTTTACTTTCAGAGCAGATAGGAAATGCTATGTATCAGTTTGACAAAGGATATCATTGCTAAGTTTTAGTTAAAAAAAATCACAGCAATATAAAATACAGAAACCAGGTATTTAAATATAAACTATTCGTTTTGAAAATCACCTAGCAAAATATAGCAAAGGAAGAAGTGCATTAAAAAAATATATATGTGTGCTTATTAAAACCTTTGTGATTCAATGCTCAGCTTCAGATGCCCAATGAAAAAATAGGATCAGTCGAGACGGTCAACTTGGTAATTCAAAGGCTAATTGGTGTGAACATCTCTGTACTTTCGGTACTGCAGACATCCTCAGAAGCGGAAGAGGATGACCTGCTCTCTTTTAGGCTAAGTAACAGCATAAAAAACAGGAAATGAGACAAAGAATGTTATGAGAATAAACATATTATTTTTATAAGATGAAAACTCTGAAGAAAGGCTACCATTGATATTTATACAGTCAAATCTAAAGCTTTTCACAATGCATCATAAACCTAAATTTTCTCTTGCATATACTCTTTCATGCATTTCAGTATTGTGATTCCCTCTCATTTTAAAATAGGCCACTTTATTCTAATATCAAGGAAAGGACACAGTTTGGTATGGGGAACAGCCTTTATTATTTCCAATAAAAAGGAATGAACAGCATTTCTATTAAAAAAGCGGTTAGCATAGCTCAACAAACACTCTAAGAAATTTGCCATGTATTCTGAAAGCATCTAAAATTTTCAGTCCCTGAAATCAGTTTAAGACACTAATTATGAAGTAACGCACATCAATACTAAATCCTCCCTTATTTAGAAAATATCTTGTTTAGAAAATTTCTTGTTTCTTGTTTAGAAAATATCTCTTCTTCATTTTTGTCATCTTCTACTCTAAATTCCCCAAGGGTTCCTTAAAATATTAACAAAAACCTCATCATCCATGATTCCAATACTTAATCCTTCATAATAATCTTCAAACTCAGAATAGGACACTTCATTGGGGTTGCTGCAGGACTCTCCTAATGTTTCTAGAAATGACAATTTAATTTCTTCTTCTGTAGCTTTGCCTGTGGAAGTATATTTTTCCATTAAATATATTTTCAAGAATAGTGAATATATAGCATTTAATATATTTCAGGCAAGAACCTTTCCAATTTTAGCTTGCAAATATTTTTTCTTGAACAATATCAATATTCTGATTTTAGAATGAAGTCATTGGCTTACTTAATACCAGCTGCAGAAATCATCCTACTTCAATAGCACGTGATGGCATTAAATATCAACAGAAGTATGAAGCCACAGTCAATTTCAATGAACTTTGAAATCAGGAAGATGTTTTTTAGTAATTTTCTTCGAATGACTGCAAAAACTGAATAATGCATTCATAAACTAAAATTTTGGTAATTCAAAAGTTATCTTGTAATAAAGCATATGTTTAATGTGATACAAGTTCAAAGCTTTAGGAAAAACTTAAGATGCAAGTTTGCATTCGAAAAGTGTTCTGCAATTGATGTGTATTCTAGTGACAATAAAGACTATACTCAAGATGATTTCATAACGTTGAGAAAAAAATTGGAAAAATATAGCATTATAGCATGGGAAAAAATTGCATATGTAACATCTCTATACCACCATGTGTCTTCATGTGTTACCAATAAAATCACTGGCAATACAAAAAACATCCTCTCTTCTACAGGTAAAACAGAAAGGGTCAAGACACTAGGGAGACTTCACAACGACTAGTTTGGTACATGGAGATGTTTTTTTAAGAACTGATATACAAATATTTAAATTCCTATTTTTTCAATGGCAGCGTTTAAACATTTTTGAGAATCCTGAAAAAATAATGAAGGTACCAACACTTCCTCTGTAAAGGATGACAATCCTGTCCCAGAAATAAATGAATAATTTATTCAGAAGGAACTTCAAGTGCTGAGTACATTCAGTGTCAGTTGGAAACCCTGCATATTTTAATGGAAAACAGTAATATGAAAATAAGAGCATCCTCCTAAGTGAAAATTACTAATATCATATGTGTCACTGATAACTTGCACACCAAAGCTGAGAACAAACTACGTAAATGTAGTCCTACACAGGTAGGGAA